ATGGACCATATTTTGGATAGTAAGGCATTAGAGCAAAGGGTATGCTTGCTCCATTGTATTTATCTTCTTGCCTCATCCTCCTGGCAATTGCTGATTTGTTTACTGTTCCTATAGTTTTACCTTTTCCAGAATGTTGTATAAATGGAATCATACAGTATGTAGCTTTTGAGACTGGCTTGTTTCACTCAGCACAATACATTTGAGATTCATCTATGTTTCTGTATTTATCAGTAATTTGTTTTTTATTGTTCTGGCTGAGTAGTAGTCCATTGTACAGATGTATTGCAATTTGTTTAGCCATTAATCAGTTTAAGAACCTGAGTTATCTCCAGTTTTGGTGATTACAAATAAAGCTACTATAAACATTCCTGTACAGATTTTGATGTGAACATAAATTTTCTTTTTTCTTTCATTATTCTTGGATAAATACCCAGGAATCACATTGCTGGGCACTGTGGTAACTGTAGTTAACTTTATAAGAAACTGAAAATTTTCCACGGTGGCTATGCCATTTTTCATTTCCAGTTGCTTTTTGCATCCTCACTGGTATTTGATATTGTCAGCTTCTGTTTAAGCCATTCGTATATGTATGTAGTGTTATCTGATTGTGGTTTTAATTTTTATCCCTAATGGCTAATGATGATGAGTATCTGGGAATGTGTTTAATGTTCTTTCTATATTTTCTTTGTTGAAATATCTTAAAACTTTTGCCAAGTTTTATATTGTTTTTCCTCATTGTTGCATTTCAAAAGTTGATGATTTAGTTTGGATACAAGTCCTTTATCAGATGTGTGTTTGATAAATTGTTTTTTCCTGGTCTTTGGCTTGTCTTTTCACTCTCTTAACATCTTTCAAGGAGCTGACATTTTATATTTTGATTATCATTTTTCTTTTTGGGCTTGTGCTTTTGGCTTTCAGTGTCAGATTTTAGAAATCTTTGTGTAATCCAAGGTCACAAAGATTTTCTGTTTTTTCCCCCTAAAAGTTTTAGGTTTTACATTTAACCCTGTGACCCATTATGAGTTAATTTTTGTATGTGGTGTGTGGTATGACTGAAGTTCATCTTTTGGCCTATCGATGTTCAGTTGTTCCAGCAGCAGCTGTCCTCCATTGAACTGTCTTTGCATGTTTATTGAAAACCAGTTAAATACATATATGTGAGTATATTTCTGGATACTGGTCTGTTCTTTTGATTTTTGTGTCTGTTGTTTTGTCAGTAACATGCTGTCTTGATTACTGTAGTAAAGACAGTAAGTCTTGAAAACCATGTGAGTTCTCCAAGATTTTTTCATTTTCAAAATTGTTTTGACAATTCTAGTCTTTCATTTTTCAAATGAATATTAGTATCAGCTTGTCATTTTCTAATTAAATCTTGTTGGGATTTTGATTAGGATTGTAAATCCTAATTAGCTTTGGGAGAATCAGCATATTAATCATATTGAATTTTCCAGTCTGTGAACATGGCATAGCTCTTCATTTATTTAGGTCTTTGATTTCTTCATCACCATTTTGTAGTTTTCAGCCTATAGATCTTGCACATGTGTTGTTACATTTATACCTAAGTATTTCATGTTTTATAATTCTATTGTATATGTACTGTTTAAAAATTTTAACTTCCAAATGTTCATTGCTTTTGTATAGAATATCATTGAATTTTTATCAACCTTATATCCTGAGATCTCGCTCAATTCATGTATTGATTTTAGTACCTTTTTGTAGATTGTTTGGAATTTTAGGCATAGATAATCATGTCTGTAAATAGAGACATTTTTATTTTTTAGTTTGTGTGCTTCTTTTACTTGCCTTCTCTTTTTCTTCCTCCCCCTCCCCACGTCCCACTGGCTAAGATATCCAGTAGGATGTTAAATTGGAACAGTGAGAGCAGACATCCTTACCATATATTCCAAGTAGCATTCAGTCATGCATCCTTATTTATGGTGTTAGCTGCAAGTGTTTTTGTAGATGTACATTATTAAGGTAAGGAAGTTCTCTGTTGTAATTTGCTGAGAGTTTTCGATATGAATTAATGGTGAAATTTTTTTCAAATGCCTTCCTGTATCTGTTGAGATGATACATGGTTTTTCTTCTTTAGTCTGTTGCTATGATGAATTATTTTCTAATATTGAACCAGCCTTGTATTCCTGGTTTTTTGCATTGTGTTCATGAAGGATATTGGTTTATAGTTGTTATTGTTTTTTGGTAATGTCATTTTCAGATTTTGGAATTAAGATAATGCTGACTTCATAAAGTACATCGGGTATTTATTGCACCCTCCTATTTTTGAAAGAATTTGTGTAGAATTTGTATTATTTAGTCTTGAAATATTTGGTGGAACTCAGCAGTTTAGTCATCTAAACCTTGAGTGTTCTTTCTTCCTTTTTTCCTTCCTTTCCTCCCCCTCCTCTCCCCTCCTTTCCTTTCCTTTCCATTCCCTTCGAGGCAACCCTTGGTTGACCTCACAGATTGCAAGGACCTTGTCAGCTTACAATCTCTTATTTTTAATTTTTTACACCTACAGCACCTGGTCTTCCTAGGCGATCTCTCATCCAAGTATTAACCAGGCCCGACCCTGCTTAGCTTCCGAGATCAGATGGGATCAGGCTTGTTCAGGGTGGCATGGCCGTAGACGAACTTTCTTCTTTATTGTAAGATTTTAAATTATGAATTTAATTTCTTTAATAGGTATAGGGCTGCTCATATTATCTATTCATGCTTGTTTTTCTTTTATTATTATTATTTTTTTTAGTTTTGAATAACTCTGTTTTGTTTTTCTTCTGTGGTTACCTTGAAGTTTATTCTTTTGACCTGTTTGACCCCAGTGTGAAATTAGAGGTAACTTATTAATACCTTTTGGCCCTAGATAGTATCTAGGTAACTCTAAAATTAGCACCATTGTTAGAAGACTCCAGAAGACTCTATTTTACTCTGATTCTTAGAGTCTCAGGCAGAAACTGAGCCAATAATTTTGATAATCTTAATGACACCCTCCCACACATCCATGCAAAGGAGGGAGTTGACTTGGGGGCGTGTCTGTCTACTGTGGGTGTCTGAGTAAGACTGCAGACCTTCCCAGATCTCCCTATTAAATTTTCTGTCTGGTGTGCCATTTTGTTGTTTTCCCCAACCAGTATTGCTGTGATAATAACCCTCTCTGATTGTTTGCCACTAAAAGCACTCTTGTTTTTGACAACATTTCTAGGCTTAGATTTTTGCATTAACTACTCCAAATAAAATCAGCCCTCTTTTGCTGGACCAGTTAGCCGCCAATCTCTATGGCTTGCCATGTCTGCTTAGAGTAGAACTCTGTGCCACAAACCTTGCAGTATTGTGGATGGTGATGCGAGTAACCTGTAGCTGAAATACCACAGTTCTTACTGAGATTTGTTAGATTTCTTGAATTTTGAAATTTCTTTTCATTTTGTTATATGTTTTTTGATTGATTTCAGAGACTTGTTCTTTTTGACAATCTTTTTCTTTCTCTTTTTCTTTTCCTCATTGCATTTAGGGGAGAGGATTTGCTGAGCTCCTCACAGAGCCATTCTGGGAGCTATGGCCTCTCTATTCTTTTTTAGCTTTCCTCCAATCTTTCTTCATATTGCAGCCAACCCCTGCCCCCACACCCCCAAACTCCCAAAGCTGGTCATTTCACCTCCAACCTTAAAAGTTTTCAAGTGCCTTTATGTTTGTTCTCAGAATAAAAACCAAAAATTCTAACGTGGTGTGAAATTATTGTCTGGCTTGCTTTCTTATATATATAGTTTTATCTTGGATGAATCTGATCATTCTCTTTCCCCTCATATTGGACAATATTCAGTTATTATCCTCAATTTAGGGAGTACTTTGCCCTTTATTCTTTATGTCAAGGCTCTCACTGGTGACATAAGTTTGGAATCTGAGGGATACAGGTTTGAATTTCTGTTCTGCATTTATTAGCTGTGTGACTGAGCAATGTACTAACTTTTCTGAATTTTTTTCATCTGAAATATGACAGAAATAATAGTTCATAATGTTGCTTTTCTGAATTTTTTCATCCGAAATATGACAGAAATAATAGTTCATAATGTTGCTAATAGGCTTAAGTGAGAAAATGTATATAAAGCAGTTAGCACAGTGCCTTGTATCTAGGAAGTATGTTTATTCCCCACCTGATATTCTCTTCCCATCATTTCTTTGAGTAAGAAGTTTATATGGAATACCAATAGACGCAAGTGAAATTATTCCAGTATTACCATTCCACCAATTTTCTGAGTAAAAGTTATACTTGAATTTCAGTTGCATTTAAACATATTTATTGAGTACCTCATATGTAGTTCATAACACCCTCATAACTTTTTTAAAATGTGCTTTTAATTGAAATATAACACATTAAAAGTTTTACCTGTAAATCAAGGAAATTTTTCTTTTTCCCTCAGGAATGAGACTATTAAGACTTACATTTTTTTACTATGACAAAAATTTCAAACTTGTAGACTATAAGCAAAAATAGTACAAAAAAATTCTGTGTACTTTAACTATAATACAATGATCATATTTAGAAAATTAACATTAGTACATTTCTATTAAATAACTTGACAGGAATACTGTGTAAGAGATCTACATAAAAGATGGTATGTCTTCTTCAGTACATCACATTTTTAATGCCACCTTGTTTCCTTATTGATGACGTTTACTTAAATGATGTGGTTAAGGTGGTGTCTACTGAGTTTATTTTCTCTAAAGCTACCATTTTCCCCTTTGTCAATAAGTAATCTCTGGGGAGATACATTGAGATAGTGTAAATGTCCTTTTTCCCAGTAAACTTTGATCATATGGTTTTTGCATTCTCAATGATGCTTGCCTGAATCAGTTATTGCTACGATGGTGGCAGAAAGGTAGTTTATTAAAATTTTGATAATTTCTAGGTGTTTCAGTTTTAGTGTTCCTGAGAGCTTTCGTGATAATTATAAAAACTTGGCTGTTAATCTGCTTATTTTGTTGTTTATTATTTATATCATTTTTAGGTTCATGTACTGGACAGACTGGGGAGAAGTACCAAAGATAGAACGTGCTGGAATGGATGGTTCAAGTCGCTTCATTATAATAAACACTGAAATTTACTGGCCAAATGGACTGACTTTGGATTATGAGGAACAGAAACTTTATTGGGCAGATGCAAAACTTAATTTCATCCATAAATCAAATCTGGATGGAACAAATCGGTAAGGTTGCCGTGTACATTTATTTTTAAACTTTAAGTAAAAGTAAATGCCACAGTGTCTTTTAGTAATGAAATTATAGTAATCAAATTATAAAGCCTAATTTTATTAAGAATAAATTAGTGGATTTTAGGCTAAGTGTCAAAAGGGAAGAAGAATAGACTTTCAGTTTGCTTTTGAAAAAGGTGACTATATTTCTCTTGGTAGCATTTAGAATTTATGGACTACATTTTCTCCTTTACTCTGAGCTGATTTAGTTCTTGAGTGATTCTCAACCAGAAATAAGACTTCTTCTTTCTGAGGGTGTTTTTTTTGTAGGGAATTTTGGTTAACACAAGGACTGGGAGTGGTGCTAGCCTTTTAGTTCCAGGGGGGCCAGGGATGCTAAATATTATGCAATGTGCTGGACATTCAGTACAACAAAGAGTCATCCTATTCAGAATTACCTATAGGGCCCGTAGGTACTGCTCATGGAAGCTCACTTAATAAATCTCCAGATTAGGACAGTGGTTGGCAAACTTATCTTAGACTTTGTGGGTCATATATGACCTCTGTTGTAACTACTTACCTCTGCTGTTGCAGTATGAAAGCAGCTATAGGTAATACGTAAGGAAATAGGCATGGGTGTGTTCCAGTAAAACTTTATTTACAACATATATAGTAAGCCAGTGGGGCTATAGTTTGCTGACTCCTGGACTAGAAGAAAACCTCTTGCATGTATACGATACCCCAGTATTTAAGAAAGACAATGTTATAATAAGTAAAAATGAGGTTTCTACTCAGATCATGTTCAGATTTTTAAAGACACTTTATGTTCTTGTGTTTGAATGATTATTTGGGTTTCTAGTGGTCTTATTCTAAGACTTCAACAGAAACTAGAGAGCCAGGAGTTGAAGGAATATTTCAAAGGCTAAGCATTTTTAGGTTATCTGAATGATGAACCAGGAAGCATTTTGACATATTGAAAACCAGGAAAGAGTTAAAGAATTTATTAAAATAAACTTGGTATAATCATGGAATTAGAG